TCGTTGGAGCGGTCGTTCAAAAGATCTATGCCCGTTGATATGAATAGAAGAAGGCAGGGAATGGTAGTCTTAGGCGAGTGATCTCGTAATCTCTTTTCAACGGTGATTGGGAGGGTTTCCGGACTGCCGTCTTGTGGCGCACAACCTCAAACTTGTAAATGCAACTTTCTTCCTATCTTAACATATCGGTACGCAGATGTCCCGAGTCTCCACCAACACATCCAGCTAGCTCCAGGCCCGCACACAACTCGGCTTCCAGTGCAGAACCACAACTTCACAAGGAAGCGACGCGAGGAGAACACGATTTGTCCTTGCGCATCCCACAAGATCATACCAGCCCCTGCCGCTCTAGTGGATTCCAGAAAAGTATCATCCGCGTTCAGCTTCACCTTCCCTTCTGGTGGTTTCTCCCAAACCTTGGCCTCCTCAAGTAGCCTTACTAGGGCCGTTGTAGCCGTCAGCATCGGCGCTGGCTCCGGCCCGAGTGCAATGCCTTTTCCCTTGATGATCTGCTTCGTAGACTGTTCCCGGATATTCATGAGGCTGAGCATATAGCTGCATAGGAACCCCGGGAGCCTTCGATAAAGGGCATAGGCTTAACCGACGATCAAACTTGACCAAAGTATGTTTAGCTTGGCTTTTGCGTTACCTATGCGTAATATATAAAAAGTAAGTATATATTTAAGTAAGCATACATATACGTTAATACGTACTCCCTCCGTTTCATATTACTCGTTGCTGATTTAGTATAACTTTGTACTATATCGGTGACAAGTAATATGGAACGGAGGGAGTAGGTGTCAGTGATGATGATCGAAGGATATTTTTATGTGGCAATTAACATGAGCAACGCCGACGTCAACGAACGCTGGCCACACACACCCACATCGTGAATCCTCTCATGGACCGGCCGGCGCCCGGGCATCACGAATGGCGCCGACGCAACGTGTGCGGTGAGGTGCGCACGATTCAGCAGACGTGAACTATGTGGCTAACACAAACATTTTACTCGTTTAATTAACTATGTGGCTGCTATATGGTTAGGATTAAGTCAACTGAAATGTTTATCCGACTAGCAGAATATTCTTGCTTTGAACATATGGCGCGCCCGGTTCTACATCTCACCTGCGCCACATTGCTTCCCAACGGAATTGTGAAAGCACATTGTATTGTTTACTATTTAGTTGGTTTTCGCAGGGGCGAGGACATGATTTTCTTAAACTCATACACTAAAAAAGGAACTAAAACACAGGAAATATTCAGTCCACCAAAGGGTTGTATATGACCAATGAATTGAAAGCCAGGTGATCCATGCCTGGGACTGACCGGGACACACGCAAATGGCACGCACGACACGACGCGTGATGCACAATTGCCAGCGACGGCGTGAACCGCGCCGGCCTATGTTAGTAGTAATATCCTCCGTATTAGTCAACTATAAATTGATCACGTCAAGTTAGAAGGAGGAAGGAATTATCACCAATGGCAATAGGAGGGTCAAATGCTAGCACGTCAGGTAAAATTACTATAAAGAAGGAAAAAACACGGCGGCGCGCGAGAACTAGAGAAACGGAAGGGTCGGACGACGAAATGGCTAGCCCAAGATTTCAACTCTAGCTCCTGTGGAAATGGTAAGCTGCCTGTATGTCAAACAGGCAGGTGAGAGCTGGGCACAGCCACAAACTTGCTACGAGAGAAGAAAGTAATCAATCCGCCAGATTGATCTCAGGCCACACACATCAAAGTCTACTGGCTCTTTTACAACAACATAATCTATCCGGCCGTGTCGTCGTGCATGCATAGTGCAGCTTTGCAACACATTCCGTCCAACTCGTCATGTGGCGGCGGCCGGCTCGTCCCCGTTGCGTGCGCCTACGGGGTGCCTGTCTGTTTGTCTCCAGTCTCGACGCGTGTTGTTCGGCGGACGTTCGCCTCCCTGGTCGGCGTGTATGCCGCGGGTCGGACGGGCAATGACCTCCAGCTTGATCGCCGGCTCCCTAGCTCCACGTCGGCGGAGTCAGAGGTGGTGACAAATCTAATAAGGGTATAGAGACAGAGAGAGGCGATGACAGCGGCGTGATGAAGGGTACACACAGTAGAGAGAGCGCGTAGCTCCGTCACGTTATGCCCAAAAATGCTATGTGTACTCGTTAAGAAAGTATACTACTCCCTCTGATCCATACAAAGAGCTCGGTTTCAGCGACTCCGTGAATTGGGCTACAGCTTTCTCCGCTCCGCTCTTCCTACTCCGCGGAATCGTACCGTTCGGATGGAATCGTACCGTTCGGCACCGTTCTGTCCGCTCCTGGAGCAGAGCTGGGAGCGGAGTCGATCTGAACAGGCCCTAAGTTGTAACTTTTTATTAAATCGGGGACAATTAATATGAACAAAGGGCCGGTTCCAAAGCTGCAGGGAAGTTGGTGCCTTGGCAAGGCCGGTTCATCATGGCGGTTGAGCGAGCAGTTGGTTAGATCCATGACCACCTGCCAGGGCACTTTTCATGCCACAGCGATTAAACTTTCTGAGAGTACTCTCCGTGCAATCTCAATAAGCTTGAGAGGCCCTTCCTTTGGGCGGGAGCTGAGAAGGTCTTTGATGGGCAATGCAATGTCAACTGGAAGGCCGTGTGCAGACCAAAGAGCCTGAGTGGTTTGGAAGTCCTCGACCTAAAAGTGCTGTCAGTACAAAACTTTATGGACACATCGGCGGGCCCGCGTAGCAAAGAAACAATGCCCCACGCTGCACGCCCTGCACAGCATGTCCCTTTTGTGTGTCAGACCAGTACTCGGGCCAAGCCCACCAACCGACGTGGGCGGTGTATCTCTCTATATCGAGCGATGTATCTCCACTTTACTCTATTCGCAAATCATATTGCACGGATCCCCACGCGACACGCGACCGGCCAAATAACTGCGTGCAGCTGCCGCTACGTGCAGGACGTCCACTCTCGTCCTCGACCTTCATTTATATGTGAGAGCTTTGCGTGTAAGATGGCTATGGTATGAATGGAAGGAACCTGATAGACCTTGGGTGGGCATGGGAAACCCATGCGACTCCACGGACAGAGAGCTCTTTTTTGCGGCGACGACTATCACCGTGGGGGATGGTCGGACGACACATTTTGGCACTCCCCATGGCTGGAAGGATAGAAGCCCAAGGACATCGCCCTGCTCGTGTTCGCGAGCTCGTCCAACAAGAACAAATCTGTAAAGGAGGCCACCCAGGATCAAAATTGGGTACACTGGATTAACATGGAGGGTGGGCTTTCGGTTCAATATATTGCACAGTTCTGTACGGTTTGGGAGAAGCTCAGCCAGGTTGAACTTTGGGATGACCTGGCCTATGACATCAAGTGGAACCTCACGACCAATGGCACATATTCGTCCGCCTCGCAATTCGAAGTGCTATGGGGAAAATGCACCCCCCCCCCCCAACAAGTTTTTCGCGTGGCTCGTCAACAAGAACATGATTTGGACGGTCTACAGCGGCGAGGGTGGCCGAATTGCAATGTATGCCAACTCTGCAAAAGGGAGCCGGAGACGACGACACACATTATGTTCTAGTATAGGTTCTTCATGCGCATTTGGAATGCGGTGAGATGTTGGCTTGACATGCCGGAGCTCGACATTGCTGACTGGCCTGGAATCTCTTTGGTCCATGAGTGGTGGACTAGAACGATCCTTGGTCGCGAACACCAGAGGAAGGCGGTCTCTTGGCTTATAATGCTAGTCTCTTGGTAGGTTTGAAAAGAGAGAAACGCAAGGGTATTTCAGAAGAAATCCTCAATGCCACCACGGTGCTAGAGGGCATCAAGGTGGAGGCCAGAAATTGGGTTTTGGCCCGGGCTAAACACTTGGGATCCTTGATGCTGCGAGAGTAGTTCTTTTTGTTTTCGCATTTGTTGAGGAGTAATGACCCTCGTTGAGACTTTGTTTTTTTACTTTCTTTATTAATGAAATGAGGCAAAGCTTTTGCCTCCGTTTCAAAAAAATATGAATCAAAGAGGGTAGATGATACAATGTCAAAAAGGGCACGACCCATACATCACCAGAGACGCCACTCCATGAAACACCTGAACGAATTAAGGATCATCATCAACCTGATGGTTGGTGGTCCATGAGAAGAAAACAAACTGAATCCAACCCAGACTAGAGCAAAAGATACAACACGAGGCATGAAAGCGAGAACTGTCCATTGCAAAACTTTTTTTTTCGAAACGGAGGCAAAAGATTTGCCTCATCTCATTAATTAAGAAGAGTTTTGAATTACATGACCGACCGCCCATAGATGGCCCGAAACCGATAAGCCTACTCTCGTGGCATAAGAGAACTCAGCCGTTTGGCCCCTGCCAACCCCCAAAGTCCATTGCAAAACTTGAAACACAGTCGCACAACATGACCCAAACTCAACTTCCATAGCGACGACCGCAACTGCAGCACAAAACATCACACAGATGGATTCGACACCACACTTGATCAAACTACTTGGATGAGTATAGGCGCAACATCACTTGGCGACGAGACCACCTGCCCAACTCCACAGGATCTGCCTCCACCCAGGCCATTGAAGGGAGGAGGCATTGGGGTGAACAAGCAAAATCCAGGCGATGCAGCAGGCACATGCGAGCATCAAGGATGAAGCCAACCACGAACTGGAGGCTCGACCAACCGACGACAAACCATCAGATCCACACCCCGACCAGAGATGGCCCGACGGATGCAGATGCGCCAGATTTAACGGAGCCACTGTCTGATCAGACGACCCAAAGACACCAGTTTCCCAACCAACACAACGAACACGAGACGACAACAACAGAGAAGAATCATAGGGACGAAGATCAACCTATAATAGTAGCTCGCAAAAATACCTGCACTCGACAATATGCCCAACTGGGTCAGATCATATATTTGAGATTCTTGTCAAATTAAGGGTACAAAGGCATGGCACAAAACCGTCTGAACACAGCTAGACAACAAGCACACAACCATGATCCAACAACCTTAAGAAGACTCGTCAGCTTCCTCACCTCCCAGGTGCGCCAAGCCTTCCTTGTACACTTCAAAGTCATCGGACGACCAGCGGCAGACAAGGTACAGTCGGAACGTCGCCATCTTCCTCCCAAGCACGCGCTGCCACAAAGAAATCAATTGGGTCTCAGTGCAAAGAAAGAGATCAACAGCTTGCACAAGGGGAGACATGCTTCCAGTGCTATTAAGGATAAAAATGTGGTGATAGAAGCCTGGAACACCCTAATGAAGTATAAAACTCTGTACCCATCTGCCTATGTGTTTTGCCAAACCTAGCTAATTAACATGCTATTACTGGGAAACTATACTGCTGCTTCCCGTGGCTGATCAGTATCTGTCTTGTTATTTTTTTAAACTAATATGTCGGTAACGCTGCACAATATGCCCATTCATACCAGAGTGTGTGCTGCTTCTGGTGAAAGGGGCTTCCCTTCTTCACATACTACATGATCTGCAACCAATTCAACAACACCTGCACCAACAATGGTCAACTTTATTAGTTCCAACCATTTTGCTTGGTAGCTTCAAGCACCTGAGTGCAAGGGAATTACAAACCTTTGTTTAGACGAACTGGCAGTCCTTGTTTGCGCAGAAAGGGTTCCATTTCATGTGAAAACTGTTCCAGAGGGCCTTCCTTTAGCTCAACCTGAGGCATCAAAAAGTTACAGAGTTTTGTTAGCCAACTCATACAAGAAACCACAAGTGCTATTTAATAGAAGAATAACACAACTTCAGACTAACACTCATTGTTATACCCTATCCAGGGCATAAAACAGTTTTTATCAATGGGTAATCACTAAAGTGAACCTACACAGGAAGGATGTCGACCTTCATTTCACAAAGTCATACTCCATCTGTTCCGAATACTGATGGGGGATAGGGCATGTAATTTTTTTCATGCAATTACTAATAGAAGGCATCCCATCAATCTCACGCCAATTCTACCGAAAATACCCACAGCTGTTACAAAGTTATTGCATGCACCGATGCAGCGTCAGGAAAACTGGCACAATAACTTAATCCCCAAAATTGTCATGCAGTTACTTCTACATTTGCCATCTCCCCACAATCTGCAGCAAGAAAGGCCAGCATAATGTGTGTCTGCTTTAGGAAGACCAACATTTAATTAGGAGTAAGAAAGGAACGATTGCACCCTAGGCCGGTCAGGTTTTGCAAAATAAGTACTCCCTATATCAGAACAGAGGGACTACTACCAGTACTAATTACATATCCAGAATTACTAATAGCTGAACATTTTTTAACCAAACTAAAAGCTTGACCATGAGTCCTTGAACATGGAAGCAGAAGTAATACCGTTTGAGTCGCAATACTTCCTGTCCTCGCAAAATCATTCGCCTCAAATTCTCGGAATAATCTGCACACATGATTTATGATCATAACTTTACCAGAGCCGCACCACATATGTAAGCAAGCATTAGCAATACTGTGCAAAGCAAAAGAACTATAAGATAGTGCTACCTCTCAACATCATCCCTTGGGAGATTTGTAAATAACAATCCAGAAGCACCTTGAAGGAACTAGATACAGATAAGTAGCTGTCAGCAAAAACCTAACAAGAATGGTGTGGATTACACTTAACAGTATCTACCAAACACTGGCAAAGGATGAATCACCTTGGAGAGTTTATGCAGGCCTGTCTTAGCTTCATCAGCAGGTGACCGCCCCAATGCTATCTGCATGACCTTCTTTCCAGCAAGGAATATCCTGAGAAAAAACAATACTTAGAAGTTATAAAATTGGTCTACAAATTTTGCAGCATCAACTGCCAGTAAAGCTTAGCATTAACCACCATAGTTGTGACTTGTCACTTTATCAGGGTTTGAAGGTACTGTCCAGCAAAACAAAGCAGCATGCATCAACGAGCTCAAGTAAATTGTGTTGATTCAAGCCAAAATAACATTTGCAAACATGTCATTGTTGTTTAAGAAAAGGTTCAAAACCAACCATATTGTAAATTGCTCTTGGACAGAGGACTTGCAAACAACATAGCAGATAACTAATACTCCCTCGGTAAAGAAATACAAGAGCGTTTAGGTCACTAAAGTAGCAATCTAAACACTCTTATATTTCTTTACAGAGGGAGTACTAGTAATAAATAAAGAGTGGAACCTACCGGCTAGAGGATTTAAGTTGGTCCCTGAGGTCCTTGAGCTTCTGATTCCTCATATTGTTGAAGGTGAAGACATAGGCGCTGCTGTGGCGCTCAATCGCGTCTTTGATCTCCGTGACCACCTTGCCCTTACGCTCTAGACCAGGCTTCTTCTTGGTCTTGGACAAGGTGACTGCGACCATCATCAAACATCAAGATTTTGAGCATGAGACGATAAAACAAGGACAGAAAAATGGCATCGTTGCTCGCCGAAATTTGGGTTTCAGTTCTTGATTAGCAGTTTAGCACATATTTAGGTTCCATATGAACACCACTGCTTGTTGGAACTAATCCAGAGACACAAGTTTGAACAGCCAAACTTTTTTGAATCCAGGAGACGGAGAAGGAAGCGGGCAGAGGCGGAGGGGGGGATTGAGGGCAGCCGAACGGAGCGAGTGAACTGACCTGAGCGATTGCGCTTGGATTTCGGCATGGCGGAGGCTTGGCTTCCTCTTCCTTGGCTGCTGTCCTGGGAGCCGCGGCGGCGGCGGCTGTGCCTAAGTGTTCTAGGGTTTAGAGAGGGTTCGCTCTCTCGTCCTGCCTCGGCTTTTGTTTTGTGTTGCGCCGCTCGACGAAGGGGAGAGGCCGCAGGCCAGGCCTGATTTGGACTAGAACAGGCCTAGTAGAGGCCTTACTATCCCATTCGCACTTAGCCTGGCCATCAATCTTTTACGAACAAATTTTCTTGGTCTCGCTTCTTGCGAGACAGTGCCTCGTCAAATATTAATCAAGTGTTTTTTCTTCAATTGCTTTTATAATTTGAAAAATACTAAATACACATATTACGAAGGTTAATTTATTAAAAGCGTTCATTTACATCTAAAAAATATTAATGCAGTGTAAAAAATGTTCTCCCAAATTTTAGAGAATGTCTGTACCATTCAAATAAATTGTATGCAACATTCAAAAAATGCTCACGTATTTCAAAATATGCATGTAATATTGTTGAAAAAATGTATACAATGTAAAAAAATCTTGCAATTAAAAATGTTTCATGCCATTCAAACAACGTGTAAGTTACATTTAAGAAAATGTTGACAACTTTCAAAAATATGTTTGTTAAATTTATAAATATATTTATACAATGTAAAAAAGCGTCATATAGTTTAAAAAAATGTTCGTATCATTCGAAAAAAAATATGAATGTGTGTTTGGAAAATGTTTAACATGTACATCCTCCGTTTCATTTGTCAAAAACGCTCTTATATTATGGGACGAATGGAGTATTCAAAAAACATTTAATCATGGTCTGTTTTAATCGATTTGGAGCTACAGCCAAGCAAGGCAAGTAGCATTTGTACAGTTGATTGCTAAGAGCAACTCTAACAGACCCTACAAAAAGCCCCGACCCGTGAAATAACCGCCAAAATGCGGGTCAGCGCGGAAAATCACGCCCGAATAGATCCCGCAAACGTGGCCGGTCCGTAAATTTTTTTGAGGGGCAGGGAAAAATCTCGGCTCCAACCCACGAATACGCGGGTTTCCGCCTCGCTCCTATGGTGCCCCGCAGTGAAGCGGTTGGCGGGAGGGACATTTCAGCCCGCGTCCTTTCTCCACCTTCTTCTGCGGCCCGTCCGCCGTAGGCGATTCCGGCCAAATCTGCGGGCAGAATCGCGCCGCGGGGGCGTCCCCCACCTGTTGGGGAACGCAGTATTTCAAAATTTTGCCTACGATCACGCTTGATCTATATAGGAGATGCATAGCAACGAGAGGGAAGAGTGTGTCTACGTACCCTCGTAGACCGAAAGTGGAAACGTTTAGTAACGCGGTTGATGTAGTCAAGCGTCTTCGCGATCCAACCGATCCAAGTACCGAACGTACGGCACCTCCGCGATCTGCACATGTTCAGCTCGGTGACGTCCTTCGAACTCTTGATCCAATTGAGGCCGAGGGAGAATTCCGCCAGCATGACGACGTGGTGACTGTGATGACAAAGTTACCGACGCAGAGCTTCGCCTAAGCACTACGACAAATATGACCGAGGTGTAAAATTGTGGAGGGGGGCACCGCACACGGCTAAAGATCAAATTGTGTGTCAATGGGGTGCCCCCTCCCACATATATAAACGGGGGAGGGAGGAGGAGGCCGACCAAGGGTGGCGCGCCCAAGGGGGGAATCCTACTCCAAGTAGGATCCCCCCTTTTATACTTCCACAAGGAGAAGAGGGGAAGGAATGGGAGAAGCGAAGGAAAGGGGGGCCGGCCCCCCTAGCCCTAGTCCAATTCGGTTTGGGCTAGGGGGCGCGCGCCACTCCTTGGCCTGCCTCCTCTCTTCCACCATTAGGCCCATGAGGCCCAATAACTTCCCAGAGGGGGTTTCGGTAACCCCCGGTACTCTGAAACTCATCCGAAACGATTCAAACCATTCCGATGTCTGAATGTAACCTTCCAATATATGAATCTTTATGTCTCTACCATTTTGAGACTCCTCGTCACGTCTGTGATCTCATCCGGGACTCCGAACAACCTTCGGTACATCAAATCACATAACTCATAATATAAATCATCATCGAACGTTAAGCGTGCGGACCCTACGGGTTCGAGAACTATGTAGACATGACCGAGACACATCTCCGGTCAATAACCAATAGTGGAACCTGGATGCTCATATTGGTTCCTACATATTCTACGAAGATCTTTATCGGTCAAACCGCATAACAACATACGTCATTCCCTTTGTCATCGGTATGTTACTTGCCCGAGATTCGATCGTCGGTGTCATCATACCTAGTTTAATTTTGTTACCGGCAAGTCTCTTTACTTGTTCCGTAATGCATCGTCCCGCAACTAACTCATTAATCACATCGCTTGCAAGGCTTATAGTGATGGGCATTACCGAGAGGGCCCAGAGATACCTCTCTGATACACGGAGTGACAAATCCTAATCTCGATCTATGCCAACTCAACAAACACCATCGTAGAAACCTGTAGAGCATCTTTATAATCACTAGTTATGTTGTGATGTTTGATAGCACACAAGGTGTTCCTCCGGTATTCGGGAGTTGCATAATCTCATAGTCAGAGGAACATGTATAAGTCATGATGAAGGAAATAGCAATAAAACTAAACGATCATTATGCTAAGCTAATGGATGGGTCTTGTCCATCACATCATTCTCTAATGATGTGATCCCATTGTTCAAATGACAACACATGTCTATGGTCGGGAAACTTAACCATCTTTGATTAACGAGCTAGTCTAGTAGAGGCATACTAGGGACACTCTGTTTGTATATGTATTCACACATGTACTAAGTTTCCGGTTATTACAATTCTAGCATGAATAATAAACATTTATCATGATATAATGAAATATAATAATAACTTTATTATTGCCTCTAGGGCATATTTTCTTTAGTCTCCCACTTGCACTAGAGTCAATAATCTAGTTCACATCGTCATGTGATTTAATATCAATAGTTCACATCTTTATGTGATTAGTTCGCATCGCGTTGTGACTAATACCCAAAGGGTTTTACTAGAGTCAATAATCTAGTTCACATCGCTGTGTGATTAACGCCCAAAGAGTACTAAGGTGTGATCATGTTTTGCTTGTGAGAGAAGAAGCTTAGTCAATGGGTCTGTCACATTCAGAGCCGTATGTATTTTGCAAATTTTCTATGTCTACAATACTCTGCATGGAGCTACTCTAGCTAATTGCACCCACTTTCAATATGTATCCATATTGAGACTCAGAGTCATCCGGATCGGTGTAAAAGCTCGCATCGATGCAACTCTTTACGACGAACTCTTTATCACCTCCATAACCGAGAAATATCTCCTTAGTCTTCTAAGGATAATTTTGACCGTTGTCCAGTGATCCACTCCTGAATCAATATCATACCCCCTTGCCAAATTCATTGCAAGGTACACAATAGGTTTGATACACAACATAGCATACTTTATAGAACCTATGGCTGAGGCATAGGGAATGACTTTCATTCTCTTTCTATTTTCTGCCGCGGTCGTGTTTTGAGTCTTACTCAACTTTACACCATACAGGCAAGAACTCCTTCTTTGACTATTCCATTTTGAACTGCTTCAAAATCTTGTCAAGGTATGTACTCATTGAAAAATCTTATCAAGTGTCTTGATCTATCTCTATAAATCTTGATGCCCAATATGTAAGCAGCTTCACCGAGGTCTTTCTTTGAAAAACTCCTTTTAAACACTCCTTTATGCTTTCTAGAAAATTCTACATCATTTCCGATCAACAATATGTCATTCACATATACTTATCAGAAAGGCTGTAGTGCTCCCACTCACTTTCTTGTAAATATAGACTTCACCGCAAGTCTGTATAAAACTATATGCTTTGATCAACTTATCAAAGCGTATATTCCAACTCCGAGATGCTTGCACCAGTCCATAGATTGATCGCTGGAGCTTGCACATTTTGTTAGCACCTTTAGGATTGAAAAAACCTTCTAGTTTTATCATATACAACTCTTTTTTAATAAATCCATTAAGGAATGCAATTTTGATATCCATTTGTCAGATTTCATAAAATGTGGCAATTGCTAACATGATTCGGACAGACTTTCAGCATCGATACGAGTGAGAAAATCTCATCATAGTCAACATCTTGAATTTGTCAAAAACCCTTTTTGACAAGTCGAGATTTGTAGATAGTAACACTACTATCAGCATCCATCTTCCTCTTGAAGATCCACTTATTCTCAATGGCTTGCCGATCATCGAGCAAGTCCACCAAAGTCCACACTTTGTTCTCATACATGGATTCTATCTCAGATTTCATGGCCTCAAGCCATCTGTCGGAATCTGGGCTCATCATCGCTTCCTCATAGTTCGTAGGTTCATCATGGTCTAGCAACATGACTTCCAGAACAGGATTACTGTACCACTCTGGTGCGGATCATACTATGGTTTACCTACAAGGTTCTGTAGTAACTTGTTCTGAAGTTTCATGACCATCATCATTAACTTCCTCACTAATTGGTGTAGGTATCACTGGAACTGATTTCAGTGATGAGCCACTTTCAATTCGAGAGAAGGTACAATTACGTCATCAAGTTCTACGTTCCTCCCACTCACTTCTTTCGAGAGAAACTCCTTCTCTAGAAAGGATCCACTCTTAGCAACAAAGATCTTGCATTCAGATCTGCGATAGAAGGTGTACCCAACACTTTATTTTGGTTATCCTATGAAGACGCACTTCTACGATTTGGGTTTGAGCTTTTCAGGCTAAAACTTTTTCACATAAACATCGCAACCCCAAACTTGAAGAAACGACAGTTTAGGTTTATTGCTAAACCACAGTTCATACGGTGTCTTCTCAACGGATTTTTAGACGGTGCCCTATTTAACGTGAATGCAACTGTCTCTAATGCATAACCCCAAAAAGATAGTGGTAAATCGGTAAGAGACTTCATAGATCGCACCATATCTAATAAAGTATGATTACGACGTTCGGA